CTATGGGAGAATCCCCTCACCCCATGCATGTGCAGAGCTTAATCAAAACACGTGGGATTTGAACCCCCGATTGTTTTGGAGGATCTCCTTCCTTTCATCAATACCCCATTTATTTCCTTTTCTTCCCAGAATTGAAAATGGTGTGGCTATTGTGAAATGGGAGATTGAATAGAATAGTTACTGCCCCCTCGGAGCACACCACACCAATCTTTGTGGATCTGTTTTTTGTATACTTAACGAGAGAAAGAACTAAGTTTGATGAGCAGTTTTGTGCCCTAAGAAGGAGTATGGACGGTTTTGTACCTGAAATGTCCAGGGTATCCGGTACGTATAAGCAGCTCCTGGGATGAATTATATGAACTGCCCCAACCCCATGAACCAATTAACTTTCTTCTTTTTTCTTATGTTTGTAGTTCGATTTGATTTCGTTCTTAGTAAATATGTTGATTAACGTCATTGCTCACATCTTATACAATAGCAATTTCAAATTTGTCTACTAGGAAGAATGTTTTTCGATTATAGAATTCGACCCATGGCGTGTTATGTCTTCAGTTTTGATGCCAAAGTTGGACGTTTATAGCGTAAAGGCTCCTTCAGACTGTGGCATCTAGACCCGATTAGTTAACTTTCAATTTTGTGTCTTATAGTTATAAGTCTGAACTCTTAATGTTGTTTAGTATGTCTTTTTCATATTCTAACATTTTTTTAAAATTAAAACTAACTGTTAGACCTAAGTCTGAACTCCTAATTTAAAATATATTTATTAGTTTTTATGAATATTAGAAGAAATAAATGGGTTGGTTATGAAGTTACTTAATATTCCATATTCATATAACTTATAAAGTTTATGCCATATTTATTTATCATTAGTTAAAATTCAATATTGGAAAAGTATGAGATAAAAACAAAGGAAAAGTCTATTTAGGTATCTTTTTGTATCAATAATTATTTGATATGAAACTAAATATGGAATGCTGAGTTTTCAAAAGACCAGCTCATTCAAATAAAATAAATAAATTCCAAAAGATCTAACTTCTTTGCGAGGGCTTTTTTTTTTTTTTTTTTTTTTTT